AATTCCATCATACTACAGACAAACCTACTGAGATGTTAATTCACTAACCGTTGGGGGGGGGGAGTGGTTTTTAATAAATAAATACTTGAAATTCACATCCTCTCTCAGCTGCTGAGAGCAGAGGTTGGCACCCATTTGCTTTTCTTTTAATGACTGCATTAAAGTACCTTTTAAAAAAAATTGTACGAGCCCTACTAAGGTCCTGTTTTTCAGCAGCCCTAGTTCTGGACTCCTGTTTTGAGGTCCGATGCAAGACTCTTGCTTTGAAGCTAACGCTGCAGACGTTTCGTGTCGTCTTAAAACAAAAGTGTGTGTTGGGTCTAAAAGTGCGTGTGGGAGGGGAAACACTGCCCTGCCGATGTGAAATTGGGCCCAACTTTAATTTATTCAATTTAGGTGCCGCCCGACTCCAGATCGACTCTGGGCGGTGTACAGTAAAACCAAACAGAATAGAAAACGTTATAATGATCAAAAGGGAATTCGAAAGGAAATGCCCAGATCTCTGCAGTTTGCACAGTATTCAACCAACCTGCTGGAGGTTTAGGCTTGGGAAGTGTGAGAAAGAACATCAGGGTTGCCAGCAGTTTGACGGGTGTGAGGTTCTCCGTTCGGAGAGGTGAGAGAGAAATGACCCATTTGCGTCAGCAGCCTGATTTGAAAACCGTGGTGCCATCTTGTTGGTAGGGACATAAGAGTCTGACCTTTGAGAGGGAACGGGCTTGGCAGCTAGGACATCCTTGGAGAATCTATGGTGCGCTTGCACGTGAATGGGTTCGAAATCGTGCAAGGGGGCACTGCTGTCCCATGCCATTTAGCCAGTGTATAGACTGGCCAGATGATTCCCTCTCAGAGATTCCCTTCTGTGATAGAATCGCCTTCTTAACTTAAATCTTAACTCTCTGCCCCCACCCCATTTCTCCAGAGAATAAAACGCTGGTGGAGAAAACAAGAGCTGGAGGAGAAAGAATTTTGTTTAGGGGTAAAGCCGGGCTTTGTATGCACAAAATCCAGGTTCAGACATGGCCCCAGGGTGATGTTGCAGGGGAAGATGGCTTGCTGAAAAGTGGGGTCTTCATTATCAAGGAGACTTGTGGGTTCCACATACAGCTCAAGGTGGTTTGGAGGTTGCTTTCCAGTGTAGAAGAAGATTCCTGAAGCTTGGTTTCGTTGGTTAAATAGTTTGGGTGTGTGGAGCAGATCACCCGGACTCCTGGAATTGTTAGCTTGTCTGGGAGTAGGTCCTGATGTTGCCTTTCTTCGATGCCTCCAGATCTAATCCAGTCAAGAGTTAAGGTTGTACTGAATTAGCCTGCTGCCTCCAAATCCTAACCTGCTTAATATAATTGTTTTGGGGATTATCGGTAGGGAATTTTTTTATTTTTTATTTTTTGGTCCTGGAGAGATGTCTAGTTTTTTTCTGTTCTGGGAAGCTGAGTCTGCAGCGAATGGAGCAGGTGCAGCTTTGCTTATCCAGACATGAATATCTGAGAATCAAGCCAAAGGTAGGAACCTTTTCCTTTGCATCTAACCTTTTGGACAGAGAGGGGGGAAAAGGATGTTTTATTGCACAGAGGACGTTGGGCCTGTGACGAGGGAGGGGGAAGAATGCTGCCACGGACATGGGAGATGGGTCCGTGCAGTTGGACCTCTCGGTTGACGCGACGGAGATAACCGGAAGCTGCTTTGCGCCCTTGCTGGATCAAGAGTGCAGATTCCCATTTTAAGAACGGGCAAAGGTCTCTGCTCCTCTTCCATGCCCGTGTCAACCCATGATGTCACTTTGCCCGGCGTTTCTCCTCGTCTCAGCATTGATGTGGCACCCTTTCAGTTCCTCCTTCCTTCTCCACTCGCCAAATTTAACCGACTTGCCTCTTGGCTTCCAGACTTCCTAAAATAGTATCACAACTCGATTGCTTCCTCCCCACCCACCCCCCGTCCCTCCTGCAGAGTTTTAGCAAATGCACCAGCGTGTCTTGGCAACACGGAGGGAGATTCGTAGATGCTCTGCTAAACTTACCCGGCAGGGTTTTGTGTTCAACGCTCTGATGTTTTTAAAAAAAGATTCCTAGTGATTTGGTGGCTTTGCAGGGTGACGTTTGGGTTGGAAGTCCCAACACCACCTTATGCCCTTCCTTATTTCACTCTTGTTTCACATTCCTCTTCCTTCTCTGCAAAATTGCGTTTTAATTTGGCGATCCAAAATGGCACAGTGTGTTCTAAGTGAGATATATGCAATGGCATTATTATCCCTGCTGTGTTTATTTCTCAGTTCTCTTTC